TATCCAAAAGTTTTTCGATGAACTGTACTTCATACAACTAGCAAGATTGCAACTTTTCATTTTATAAGCTATAATTTTTATATTATGAACTCGCATCAAATCATTAGGTAAATATTGGAAATGTCTACGAACAAATATATGGGAAAAAGTATGATAGATATAAAAAAAAAAAAAATGAACTGAAGGAAAAGCATAATAATCATGCAAGATTGATTCAAATTTCAATACTTTCTTTTGCGTTTGATTCTCTTTTCACGAGAATTTCAAAAATGTTTCTTGCACCACATACGAAACGACTTCTTTCTAATAGAACATCGATCCATTGCAATAAAATGGTAATCAGACATATTCGGTCTGGCTTCGTAATGAAACTTTCATCTTATATTTACATCGACTCACTCGTATTTGCCATCGAAAAGAGGACGGGAAATCTGCATGAAGAATAAACGATCATCTAATACGATATAAATTCACAATAAACGATTTGTTTGACATTGTAGAGCAGTGCGAGTATGAAAATAGGAACAAGATAATAGTTGTGTGTGTTTGTGTGTGTGTGTGTTTGTGTGTGTGTGAGGGAGAGAGATATACGATCATCATACGTCGCAATCGTCTATATGTCTTTGACAAAGCTTATTTATTTATACTAAAGAACCTCTTGATATTTTGATATTTTGATGAAACCCAGTGAACTCTTATACAATTTTCATTAAGTACTCGAAAATATAATAGTCATTATATTATTGATATTCGCACACATAATGACCCGTCTGTGAGGTATTAAACGGCGAGTCCTCGTATTCTTGCTTTATTTTCTTTCTATATGACTTGATTCACCGAGGATTACCATTTATCAAGAAAGAAATATTTCTCCCAGTTTTATCTCTTTTGGCTTTCTCTTTTATATTTTTGATTGCTTTTTATGACTTTCATTTTTGTTTTAAAGATTTTGCCTTTCCTCCTTTCCTTTTTAAATATACATTTTACATCAATTGTCGTACTCATGCTCTCATTTTCTATCCTCCCTCTTCTTTCAAATGTCTTTATTTCTCCCTTTTTCTCTTTCTTCGCTTGTCTTCGAACAAGATTGAAATGCACTATTCGAGAGAAACGTCTATCGAAGACACATCGCCCTGTAAATTCCATGAAACGTGGAGTTCTAACTTTCGCACCCCAGTAGGTTTTTCGAATAATATAGGTGGAAGATAGTTCAGAGCCCATCAACCTCTTTTAAAACTGAATTGAGCATGGATAAGGAAATAAAAACTTTCAAAACATCTTTTTCCCAGACTCTTAAATGTATAACTCATTGCTTATTTAATGTAGGTCATGAGACGTAGATCCGTCATGACAATCAATAATCGCACAAAACACCCTTTTCCTCTATGCTAATATAATATAATATAATATAAAATATAAAAATAATAATAGAAATTTATAATATTCACAGCAACGAAAAATCATAGTTAAAATCTTTATGTTGAGTGAAATTGGAACTTTCGATTTATAATTGTCATAGAATAACAAATAAATAACTAATATTTAATTTTACTTAATTTTAATTTTACTAACGTTACTCGATTCAACAAATATATTAAATACATGATTAGCTTGATTTTAAGATCGATTAATTGATCATTCAAATACATTGTGCGAATATTTCTATTTTAAATGAGAGACACACAATCACAATATGCACTAATTGGAAATGTTAGAACGATGAAAGATGGGCATTAGAAGAGAAACAAAAAATATTAAGTGATTATGATTAAATGATGAAAGTTAATATTTATCATACAACATAGATCTTGACATAAAGAATGTAGGGGCAGGAATGATTGAAATTATTCAGTGGAAAATCGAAAGTAGACGACATAACCTGTGGGAAACAATGACACAAAAGTAAAGAAACCGCACTATTCTGTCTTTCTGAAGCGCGCGGCCCTTCCATTCTAAAAGACAAGTAATTACGTTCGATAAGGAGATTACTTTTCACTATAAGTATCGAGCGATTAGATACTTGAAAGGATAATGTCAATGGAATAGCATACCCTTGTCCTAATTACGTTCATTATTGCATTAAAGAAAGTGCTGAAAGCACCTTCTGAGTGAGCATATGAATAGAAGCATAAAGCTAAAATATAAAATAAAATTATTTAAAATATCCCTTCGGCAATGTAGAGAGTCTAACTCAATAAATATAGTCAATGTCGTTCATAAAGAAATTATTAGTACTTTGACACAATATCAAGTGATATCGAAGACAATTGAAAATTAAAAGAAATATTCATGCATGCAAATTATCTAATAATAATCTTTTCTTACATTTGTTGAATAAATTTCGTGTAATAATATATCTAATACCGTCTCTTAAACATATATCTTTTTAATAGTAAAATAATTATTGAAGTAGAGTTCCATTCCCTGCTTTGTATATTTTATATCATTAACACTACGATATAACGAATAATCATTTTCGTTCCTATTAACATATTAATTTGTATATAATAATAATAATAATAATATATATATATTTTATTTTCATGAATATTAATTAATACATATATATATATATATATATATAGAAAATAGTTTAATCCCCGACGATTGCTACTATTTTGGGTACTTTATTTTATTTATAAAATTACTATAGTAGAAAAATAAAATTTACGTTGACATAGTGAAATAATGTATTAATAAAATATAAAACTATTTTACAGAAGAAATAATCAATAGAATAAATACTCGAAGATTATCCTTTAAAATAATTAAAGTACTTATAATTTTTAGTAAAAATGTTTTTTGATATTTGCTATTATAACATTATCGTAAATTATAATAAATTATTAAAAAAAAAAAAAAATACTTATTATAGTTAAATAAATGATATTCACTTTACATTTCGAAATAAATCAGATAGGGTGATATTACAGACAGACAAGAAAATGAGAAGAGGATTAAAGTCTTGTCATTGTGATTATGCCTGATCTGCACTTATACAAAATCAATTTCCAATAAAGAGGGGGAGAAAAAGAATGAAATTCAATTATCTTTTATCTTCTTGTCAGTCTCTATTTAAAAATAGTCAATTCGTGCAATTGCTATATCATTGAATTATGGTTCTTCTTGCATTCTATATAAGATAATAGAAATAGTTCAATTAATTTTTGTTCATCAATTAATATTACATGAAATATTATTTATGTTTTATATATTTTCCTATATTATGTTTATTATTTTTTATATTTTATGTATAAAAAAGACGTTTGTTATTTTAATTTTATTAAGTGTAATGTTGACTATTAGCGATATTATTAATATTATGCCTTTTTTTAAAAATGTTGTTAATATTGTAATAATAATAATAATGTAAAAATAGAAATCGGTATAAAATTTTCTTGAATTTAATGATATATTATACAAATTTTTCATTAAAAAAATTTTTGACTAATAATTATTATACAATATATATATATATATATATATATATATATATGTAAGAATACCAATCGAATATCCAGTTAATCTATGTTACTAATAAATTCTTAATAAAATTTTATAACAAGAATCGACTGTGAGTTATTAATAGTTTATTTCATCATATATCAATATATCGAACAAATATCTTATAACTGATAATTGATCGAGGGGGTATCATACCAATCATATCACATTGTAAATAAGTTGCTACTTTATATTAATTTGTTCGTTATTGAAAAAAGAATTAAAAGGAATTTTTAATTTTATTTGTTATTTATTGCCGTGGAAATGGTTCTTTGAAAACTGCTAGTATACTTTGTGCATATATTAACTGGTAATATAAATTTATTTATTTATATTGCAAATGAAAATAAGAGAATTTCCATAAAAGATACAAATAGTAAATTATTTTTATTCAAATATTAGCAATTTTCATTCATATATTAACAAATTTCTCCTATTACTTCTTAATTATATATATATATATATGTATATATATATATATATATATATATATATATATATATATATATATATATATATATATATATATAAAAAAAAATAGGAGAAATTTTTTTATAACTGGTAATATAAATTTATTTATTTATATTGCAAATGAAAATAAGAGAATTTCCATAAAAGATACAAATAGTAAATTATTTTTATTCAAATATTAGCAATTTTCATTCATATATTAACAAATTTCTCCTATTACTTCTTAATTATATATATATATATATGTATATATATATATATATATATATATATATATATATATATATACAGCTTTATATGTACATATTTACTTTCACTGCCCTTTTTGTTTGCCAGTCAAGTTCCACTTTTTTGTTGTTGATAATTGCTGGACTTTATCTCTAAAAATACCGTGGCATTTGGCGAAGTATGACAATACTTTTTAAAGAG